AACAATAAAAATTCAGCAAAACAGAAGGATGTCATCAGTTCTAATGCACATTTCAAAAATTAATTAGATAAAATTGGACCATAAAATAATTCAATCTTCTTTGTTAATATACATAGCATGAGGCATAAATAATTATAGGGATCATAATTTAGTCAAATACTCAAATTGGTCCTTATTCAATGGTATTCACTGATCTGAATGCCAATCAGTGCACATACCGAACCATTTTGCATTGTCCAGGATTATTCCAAGCGCACCACCCAATATGGTTACTGTGTCGGGCATACCACATTGTTTTTTACCGATAAACCTAGGTGTACCAGATGGCAAACAAACCGTCAAATACTCATTCTGACTCGCTCCTCCAACCCATTTAAACATCTACATAGCCCCTGTTTACATCTACATGGGTATTAAAGACAGTTTTTGACATATTTGTTATGTATTGATCCTTAATAGGTGTTAAATACAAAATGTTTAATCATTATTGGAGCTAATACATAGAAAAAAATATTAAAAGGGTTTGGAGGGCTCCAACTAGAAACCATCAGCTCAGCCAGTCTTGGCTGGTACTAGTCCATACTGAGTATCAATACAGTAAGGTACCAGTGAGGTTGACGACTGGTAGATATCTCACTAAGATTTGAAACCTTAATTATCAGAATCGATAATAACATATCCAGATTAACTGCCGCAGCAACTACTAATAGTATTAGTGTGTAAATTCAGAAAAGTTACAGCAAAAAAAAACTAAAGATGCGAATATAGTATTTCATGTCCATATTTATCATCAAAGACATGAAAGGCAATCTCCAGTTATCTAAATAAACAAGGCTCTCCTATCCTTCTTTTAGTCCCCCAACGATGCAAGTAAGTAACGACCCAGCATTAAAATAAAGCTGGACGTGTTCATAATCTCATTCATCACATCTTTCTTGCTATATACTAAGAAAAGCATCAATGGAGGACTACAAATAGCATAGGTACATCTAACAATGCACATCTGCTCCTCTTCTATACCTACAACTAAATTTCAATTGCAAGACACTTGAGCACAAACACAAAAAAAACATGCAGAATAGACCAAAGAAAAAGGCAAAGAAGAATAACCTTATCATCAACATCAGTATTATGCCTCAACCATGCATAGGCTTCACGAAAATCATCAAAGACATGTAAACCGTCATGCGAGTGAGATGTTAGAACAATTGATGGGGCAGAATAAGCTTCTGCTGCTGCCCATACACAGTGAACCTACAATAAGTAACAGTAGACCTTCAGTTCAAGACCAAACATCCAGATAAAACACAATACTGGAGAATTTACAGTATATTTACATAGAAGGAGAAGGATATATCAGGCAGCAAACCAAAAAATTATTTCTAACATTTATCAACTTATGAGTATGCTTTGTGGCACATCAAACTGATAAGTCGGAATCACTTTTTTGTTATTTATTGACTTTTAAATTTTCTCTGTGAGTACTGATGCTAAAAGTATGACAGTAACAAATTTAAATGGCCTAAGACCATAATCAGATACAAGCAGTTAAAAAAAAGTTCTTTAACCCAATGAGAATGTTCATTAAGCATGACAAAGAAACAAATCCACAGTCATATAGTTATACAGACATGAATAGCAAAATAATTTAACATATCTTCAATCACTGTGAAATTTTCCTCACTTGTAATATAGGAGTGCCACTTATAAGTCGAGACAATATTTGACTGAATTAAGAATGTTGCACACATATATTACTATAAAGAAATGTAAAATGCATCTTGGCAAAATAAATAACGTATCAAATTCACATTGCCATGAATCTGAGAATAATTTCAGCAGAAAATCTTAAATAAAAAAATTGCATACCACATAAAAGGCACCAAGTATGATCAACAGAAGAATGGCAACCGCAGATGCCTCCAAAGGCAGCACCAGAAGTCTTTCTGCATTTAGAGGCCTATTAGGAACCATTTCAACAATTTCCTTTTCTTTCTTCCGATTCTTCCTTGATGGTCTTTCTTTTGGTGCAGATTCAGATTTAACTGTTGCTGCCTTGGTATCAACCTTTATGACATCTTGACTGGAATTAATATCCCCTGCCTTGAAATTCATATTGTAACAGCAAGAATTAAAGGAAACCTTATACAAAAACCATGAAGTTTTAAGTATATTTTTAAAAATTTGAGCAATAAGAGAATAATCCACATCTTAGTCACATACACCAGAAGGTGGACTTTCAAACATCTTTGGCAGCTGAAGTTTAATTGACCGTGTGAAGACATCAAAAGCTTCAGAAAGTGCAATCCCGGACATAATGCATGCAGCTGGAGCAAGAACAAGCATAAGGCGCACCTGACAAAATGTTGCAGATGATAATGACAGACTAAAATGTTTGCAAGTAATGTTGATGACAGACTGAAATGTTTGTTAGTTATGTTGACTAGCTTCCCATTAGGTCACTTACCATTACTCCAGAAAAATAAACTGATGTTGCTATATGCAGAACCATGAACGAGCTAGCATCAGATAGAGGCAAAAAGCATGCCTGCATTACATATTAAATAGTTACCATAAAGTAATCAAATTTAGTAGACTGTTTACTATAATATGCAAGTTAAAAACACGATCCTAAATGAAAAAGATGAATTATTTCCTTGTTTTACATATGAAAAGAACTGATACCTTGCTTTTAGTACAATAAATCCATTCAACGATAAACAACATAAGGTTCAGTATTCCAAGGTCTCCTAACTCGAATGTCCTAAGGTATCAAAAATCAACTTGTGGGAGGACCATATCCACAGAATCGATAAACAATCCTCAAATTCAGAAGGAGTTACAGAACTAGCTCCATTAAAATAAGCAATCACATCAGCGAGCACGAGAAGGGGGATGAAGAAAAGATAAGCTCAAAGCTGTCATACCTGAGTGATTCTGTAGTTGAAGTATGGACCAAACTCGTGAATCACGCTCTCATACTTGATGACCTACGAGTTCGATTCGAACAACAGCTACATAAGTCAGTAAACCAGGAAGGAAGACATCCTAGTCCAATCTTACACTCTCGAGCTCAGATCTAGAGTCGAGAGATCGAGGACTGGAGGACTTACGGAGAAGAGGCGGATCGAGAAGGCAAGGATTCCGATCAGGAGCAGGATGAAGAAGCCGAGAACGCTCCCGATGGCCTTCCTCAGGGTTGCTTCCCCCGCCATTGACGGTGGGATCAAGCAGGGCAGCGCGCCAAGGGACGGGAGAGGAGACCCCGACGAAGACTTCATCAAGGGTTCGGACTCAGCGAGAGGTTTCGCGGTCCGAAGAAGCGCCTAAATGGTGCTCCGGATTTCGGTGGGTCAGATATTAGTGAGGATAATTTTATCATTTTAAAAAAGTATTTTGAAAATTAAAAACTTGGATTTTTCGCGTGTAATCACCAACGAAACTGTGTTTTTTTGTTTTTCGTTTTTTGTTTTCATTTGTTTGCTTCCTCCGTTCTGCAGATCAACAGCTGCTTTTCGGAGTCTTTGATGTTATTGTTGTGTTCACGAGCTAATTACATATTATTCTCTCTAACTAATTATCTTTTGTATTTTGATTCTTACACTTTAAAAAATTATATTAATATTTTTTTTATAATTATATAAATAAAATATTTAAATTTATTTATCATGATAATATCAATTTTATTAATAAAAATATAAAAGTAAAAAAGATAAAAAATAATTTTAACATCCCAATCGATGGTAACAAACAACGACGTCGTCAGAGGTTGCGAGTAGCTATTACGAATAAGGAGAACAGCAACGATCGCTTGGAAACTATGTCCACGCCGACACAGAAATAGAGCAACCCTCACCTCTCGTCGTCATTGTATTCATCCACAACAATCATCTGCGACCCTCAATGACATCGTCATCCATTACCATCGACATTGTCTATCACCACAACTAAAACGTTAAATTTTTTTTTATTTTATTTTCATGTTTTCATTAATAAAACCAACAACATTAAAATAAATAAACCTAAATATTTTATTTTTATAATTATTGAGATGATAATATAATTTTTAAAATATATAGATTAAGATATTAAAGGTAACTAACTACAAAGAGATAATATGTAATTAACCCTTGTGTTTGTAGTTCTAGTTGGCATCATTCATCATCTTCTTCTCACCAACAACAAGAAGATGAAACATTTCTAAGAGAAATATTAGATGAAAACATAACATGCTTAAGTTATAGAAGTCTTCACCAACCTTAATTCATCCACAAATGACCACAAAGTCGCGTAAGTCCTTCGCTCAGACAAAGATGGTGCATTCTACAAATTTCATATAGTCAAGACGAGAGTGAAACCAACTACACAAATCGAAAAAGGCACAAGAACAAGACTTGGTTTTAAATCGTCGAGCTTTAAATGATTTATTGCAGCCTCACAACTTATATAAGAAGTGGATTATATATATATATATATATATATATATATATATATATATATATTGACGATAGTATGCTGAAAACAGCAAAATACTGCACATTAAGGTGAATGATGTTGCCTCCCAGTGGATAGAGAAACAAGGCACTCCTTGACAAGTTCTCGTACTCTCCTCTTCATCAGCCTGTCCTTCACGGTAGACAGCATACTGCGATAGAACATCTCCATTCGAATTAGCTCCTCATCATCGGCCTTTTCCAGTACGTTCTCTAATTCCTTTCTGACATCAAAGACACCAGAGTCTTGCAGTGACTGCGGAAGTCTTCGCTCATCGAGTGGCTTTCTGAATATAGATAAATGCAGCAGACCGGCATAACGTTCCATAAGAGTCAGCTTTGTCTTTAGAAAGTTCAATTCCTCCGTTGCTGCAGACAGTTTGTGGTCCATCTCCACAGTTTTTCCAACTTCATGGTCTTCGGTCTTTGATATCAGGTCATCTGTTTTTAATTTTTCATCCTTGAATACTGTATCGAGAGGTGGCCACATTACAGCAGAAGGAACATAACTATCAGCTGTCTGACCTCTCCCCAGGACCCCACTTCGGCCTCTACCCCATGCCCAAAGCTTATAACCATTGTCGGAAACAAGAACTGTATGGGCTGCTCCACAGGCAACTTGCATGGGACCTGTAAACCTGAATCCGTTGGTTTCAGAAGCCCGAATTCTCAATGGGAGGTATGCATCACCAGCATCAGTTCCCGTGAAGCTAGCATCCGGGCATAATCCAAGCCCTTTCTCCATTCCCCAAGACCATACATCACCAGCTGATGACACAACAGACGTGTGAAACAAACCACAATCAAGAGAAATCAGGAAAGCATCTTGTGGTAAAGCATCTACCGTCTGTGGCAAACATATGCTCTTCGTAGTCCCATGACCAAGCTGCCCATTTTCACCAAGACCAAATGTCCAACACTTTGATTCGATCTCCTGGTTATATGACTTCTTATTAGTGAGAATAGCAGTATGAAATGCTCCACAAGCGACTTCATAAACCACCCAGGAGGACTCCTCGTTGAAAGTCGAGATGACTTCAGGTCGTAGTCTGACTTCCTTGTCACCTAACCCTAACTGACCATGATTGTTATTACCCCAAGCATAGCATACGAGATCATCCCCTCCAGTGTAAGTTTCTCCAGCACTAACTACAGCAACCACATGTTCATTTCCACATGCCACCTTGACGACAGTATGGCCATGGAAGTTCCACACAGGTAGAGGAACACTGCTACTAGAAAGGCAAAATTCTCCATCGTCATTAGCCTGTGGACAGTTTCCCCAGATCCATAAAGACCCATGATCATCTATTGCAAGTGACATCATTCCTCCTGCTTTGACAGCACAAATCTGCATGGAAGACACCCAAATTAGTCCTGTGAGAGTGCTAATAGAACAATAGGATCATCACCAGAATTCAATCATTCACACTTGCATATAATTCCTCATTTTATCATTGTTTTGAAGGGTGGCATGTGGATGCAATCCCTTAATGGTCCTTGTCTGCCAGTTGGGTTAAGCTGCAACCCAGGTTGCAACTTATGTGGATGACACTATATCTATGTGGTCATATATACAAGTCAAATTAGACTAAGTGGTGCATATGTATGGTTATCTTCTTTCATTTTGTTTATTGATATTAATTTTCTATATATTTTCTTTCCCCTTGTAGTTCAAATTTGTTAGAAGGCATGGATCTCTTCAGCATTAATTATCAATTAATTTGGCAAATATATTCAAAAAGGTTTGTGATATGGATGATCAAATTACTGTTTATAAATTAATAATCCCCTGCAATCAGAAAGCTTCAGTGATATTACCTTTAAAGAAGTTCCTGTGTGATCTGCACTTGATTCCTCTGTCAAAGAGTCAGAAGAACCCAATTCCTTGAAATGCTCTATCAAGCAAGGAACTGAGCAATTTTCCTTGCCATGACCAAGCTGGCCATCCATATAATAGTCAAGGGCCCAATAACCACATTGTCTTATATATTAAAATTAAAATCATGCAGAGGTATCTTCATATCCAAGACAAATGATCAGATCACAAAGGATACAGACATTATAGCCCCAGGACCAAACAGAACCATCATCTGGCAATTTCACAATAAAAGAAATGAGCTGTGTAGCATCAACATAGTTTGGAATAGGATTATCATCACGTTGCAAATAGAAAAGTTGTGATTTTAAAGTTTCAATTTTCAAGTTGATACCATCACGCAGAAAGATATATGCAGATGAGAGTATTAACAATTTTCATGCCTCACAAAGTTCACTCTGGATAAATAAGATAAATTAATCGTTAGAAGAATCAGATTGAGAGCTTTTAAGCTCAAAATATGCTAGATCATCAACAGATAATAACTTCATTATTGCAGGTGCACTCTCCTCTAGCATCTGATTAATAAAATTTGTCCAATATTAAACTGAAAAGGCTGAAAAAATCATGATCAGATCCATTATGCAGCAAGTGAAGGGTATCTAAAAGTAGCATCAGCATTACAAGGAAAAAGTTACTAGAACTTTGGCACTCAGCAAAGATACAGATATTACAAGAAGACAGTTGACTGACAATAAGGTTCCCATCTGTGTCAATTCTTCACCAAAAACAGGAGTTTAGTTTCATGGAAATGACGAAAATAAGTGGAAGATGGCGAACCAGAATTTCCAGCCAAGCTATCATATCTTTAAACTAAAAGTGGTATAAATTAAGGCTGAAAGAAAAGGGAGGCATTGACTGACAATAAGGTTCCCATCTGTGTCAATTCTT